TGATGCATCTAGACGTGTTTTTTGCAAAAAGTAGAAGAAAATGAGTCTAGATGCATCAGATGTTTCATTATTAGCTGCGTTCCAACGTGTTCAATCTGTATTTGGTTTTTACATGGGTATGAGACGATGATGCTTATAGACTACTCCTGAAAAGCTGTATGATGTCTTTTTAGAAATTGTGAAACACTTGCATTTTTATATTGAAGCTAAAGACAATACTTTTGAACAATATTTATGAACTTTTTATTATGCAAAAAAAGCTTTATGTTCGTCTTCCAAATAAAAACAAAATATTAGATTAGACTTGTTTATTAATGGAGTTTTACGCATTTCTTAAATGGGCACGCCTTTTAGGACACTATATATCTAAATTAAGATATATTCAACTACAGTAGAAGTCTATTCAAATATAGGCAGCTATAGAGTGCGCGCTGCTTTCTTTGTGGAAATCAAGATTAGAATTTATCTTACAACAAAAGAAAATAAATTCTTAGTTTTGCCTCAGATTAAAAAGAAATTCTATCTGAGTTTAATTTTGCCTAAAACTTAATATATCCTGTGCCACATACTTTGACTAAGTGCCAATGATGGTGCGTAGAGCGCCAAAGCCATATATAAAATCTATAGACATCATGAAATGAAAGGTATCTACACAAACAAATCTTATCGCACCATGTATACGGAGAAGGTGATAGAAACACATACACGTACTGATCGATCGAAACGATTCTCTAAATACTGGCAGATACATAATTTCTCTACTTTTCATCATGTCTAGAAGTGTCACACCTCATAGATGCTCGTAAAATTCAATTCACGAAACTTTGGCACGAAGATGAAAGCCACCACTATTGGTGCAATGCTCCATGCAGCAGCTAGAAGTGAAAAGACACGGTGATGATGAAGATCAAGGTCACAATTTTATTTTTCTCACCTTGATACCAAAACATGGTTCCAGACCAGTATACTTCACTCGGAGTGCCCAGTAGAGTAATGGTAGAAATAAAGGAGACCATGATACTCAACGCCGTAGGAAATACAAGCATCTTACCATCAGCTAAAGTAGACGAAAATATTGATCGTTTCATGATGGTGCTACGTACCTAAAAGATATTCTTTGGCTGAAACTGTCTTAGATTTGACGAAACCAAATATACCACCTATGACGGCCGATGACAACAGTAATATTGACAAGACAATATAATCAATGGAGCTCAGCGTCGGCAATGCCATTTTCTCACAAGCTGCAATGAATGAATGAATGAATGAAAACAAAAATAACCTTCTTTCTCTAGAAACAAGATTAAGACGATAATCCTTCACGACATTTGAAGTGCACGCATAAATGCATCTAATCTATGTTTGTCTTATCTATGTGCTTAATAATTTAAGGTTAGAAAAATCTTATCGAAAACAAAGAGAGGCAATCTCGGTATAAAGGATTCGAAAAAGTAGTGATTTAAAGTTTTTTCAAAGTGTATTGATACCATTTTTCTAGTTCAACAGACTTATTGCAAAAAGTTTGAAATAATATGGAAATTCTGATCATGTTCAACGTATGAAGTAATCATGAAATCAGTCGAGTTAATGATGGATCAATAAATAACTTAGATGGTCATTTATTAATTAATTACGTAGGTGAATAAATTCAAAAATCAGTAAATAGAATTAATTAATAGTCGATTATTGCACTGTCATACATCCCGAAAAGGATATGATACATCTCCAGTGAATAATGACCACATTGTGCCAATCATCATGGCGCGACTAGAGATCAGCGGGAACACCGTAACCCCGGTCCCGATCTGACGGGATCGGGGCTAAAAAAACTTTCGGGACGGGGATCGGAGACCAAGAAATTTATCGTAATCCCCGAAAAATATTCTTCGTTTTTCTGATATACATACTTATTTATTTTTACATTTATTTAACGAGTAAAAAGATGAACAAACAAACGCATAAGTATCCTATTGTCAGATTGCAAAGTTTCACTAACAAAAGAAAACAGAAACTCAGCGACAGAAAATACATTAAAAAAAACTTTAGTAGGCGATTTATTTAAGACTGTTTAATGCAAAACGAATAAAACACAAAAAAGTTTAGCTTTCTTGGTATTTACTACTAACGTTTTCACTATCATGAAGAAAACTGTCCTATTCATCAACAATACGTATAATTTTGTATTGTTTCAATTCACAATTAATAATTTGACTGTTCCATACTAGTTATTGTAGATATTGAAATAGATCTTTTCACTTGCTTTTTGTTGACCTTTTCTTTATAAGCTCTTCGAGCTCCTTTCGTTTTAACAAATTTAAATTCATATTTTCGTTTAAATCAAGAACGAAAAGATGCGAAGAAAAAAAAGGAGAGGGGAGTTTAGTTTGCTATTTAGTTTTCTCTCAATTTATTCCCTTAAACGGGCTACCAAACAAAACTTGCCTGTATTTCTGCGTCCGTACAATATGTCACGCATATTAGATGTCACTTATTTAAGAGAAAAAAGTCGGGATTTTTAGGAAACGGGGACCAATAAAAAATATTTTCAGAGTTCGGGACTACAAATATCGACCCAACTGATCTCTAGGCACAATCTGTCTTCATTTTCTATCGATTTGATGATGTAAGATCATCCGATCACTAATTTACTACTATCGGAATTTTAACATAAGGCAGTTGAAAAATAAAAGCTTACAACTTTTGAAAGAAAAGTTGTAGCGACTTGCGGTTTTCACCATTCAATAGAGGACAGCATTGAACACAAGCCTATTTGGGCGAGGAGTGTTTTTTCAAAGTACTTTTTTAGGCTATTTTTAGTAGGCGAAATTAGAGACAAATTAGTGAATTTTGCAGAATGTTTTTTGCTTTTTTCGTTAGTTCTGTAGCCAGAACCCAAGCAGACAAACATTTTCAAAAACGCGTTTAAACGCACAAAAAAGTGCTTAAAATCCCAAAAAAGTGGACGTGTTTGGCTCACAATCGCGGTTCCCGACTATCAGCGAAAAACAACCATTTTTTGCCCTTTTTGTGCGTTAAAACGCGTTTTCAGCAAAAAAACGCCTGTAAACGCGTGTAAACGCATAAAACGATCGTAAAAAGTTCTTATCTTTTCCATACTCATAAATCACAATCATAATTACAATCACAGTTCACGAAAACGAAAAAGACCACTACTTTTTATGTTCTTTTTATGCGTTTATAAGCGTTTAAACGCACAAAAATGGCAAAAAATGGTTGTTTTTCGCTGACAGTCGGGAACCGCGAATGTGAGCCAAACACGTCCACTTTTTGTGCGTTTAAACGCGTTTTTGAAAATGTTTGTCTGCTTGGGAAACGTCCTCAAGAAAATGGCATCTAAGCAACTTCCAGATTTTATCTAGATACCATTTTGTAGAGGACGTTTCTACCTACAGAACTAACGAAGAAAGCAAAAGAAAATTTCTGCAAAATTCACTAATTTGTCCCTAATTTCGCCTACTAAAATTAGCCTGAAAAAGTACTTTGGAAAAACATTCCTTGGCCACATAGGCTTGCGTCCAAGGCTGTCCTCTATTGAATGGTGAAAACTGCAGGTCGCTACGACTTTTCCTTCAAAAGTTATAAGCTTTTTTTCGACTGCCTTCTTTTAAAATTCCGATCGTAGATGTTATGATCTCATGAACAATAATGGCTATCTCATTATTTTATTCTCTATTCATTCATTTATTTCTTCTAAATTCTCTTTCCTTCATTGTTCCTTCTTTCTTATACAAGCGTGTGTTCTATGTGGACTAGACACGACTGTAGTAATGGAATAGTGCAGTGAACATTGATACAGAGGATGGCAGTAACACCACTCCTCCAGTTTGTCATTATCGATCATAATAAAATACACATTAGATGTGGGTGTAGATGTAGCTGTAGAAAGACATCTTACACCCACACCCACACCCTGTCGTTTTGTACGATGTTGGAAATGAATTTCTACGAGCACGTGTGTAGGTTTTCTTCGGTTGCATTTGCCGTTGGTGTCGTTATCGTCTAGATTGTTTTTCTTTTCATAAGTGTAATCATTGTCAATAAAGTTGATAACTGAAAAATATTCAAATGAAAGAAATCAGGGACGAAAAAAGTAGGTATTAAGGATGAAATGTCGTTCTTCTCCGAAAGGAACAAACGAATCAGACGATAAAAAAGAAAACAAACCTTGCCACGCACGCAATAGCACTTGAATTGATAGAAACAAAATCTCGACTATTTTACTGTTACTTTGCTTAAAATTATTGAATTGTAGTAAGTATTTTGTTAGGATGATTTTTCGAGCAGAATAGCGTATTATCACTGTTCAATATACAGCTCCAGTATGATCATCATTTGGAGCGACTGAAGTCGACTTAGATTCGAAACTGATGACCAGTGTTACTTAAGTAAAACGGCTTCCCTACGCATACGAGTTAGTGATTCGGTTGATTCACTTTTCCACATCTAAAACACATATTTAACCATTGAAGGGTGTGGGTGTGGGTGTATGTGGATGTTGTTCATTTCTTCAATCAGACCCACACACCACACACCACCCACCCTCATACCCACACCCCACGCCCACACCCCACGCCCACACCCACACCCAACACCCCACACCCACACCCACCCACACTCACACCCACACCCACACCCACACCCACACCCTCCATCACACCACTGTTCTTTAATTGTGTATAACTGCCACTATGTCTAATTTGACATAGCAGAGTAGTATGTGGATCTAGTGTTTGGTTCCTTCGGGTAATCATACAGATCTACATTTGTGATTAAAGCCAACTGATGATTCCTTTAGCCGGGATGAAATCTAGATATTGGCAGCTCCATCACACCCACACCCACGCCCTTCTAATGTAACTGATGCACACGGGTTGGAACGTGTTATATTTGAGATTAAAATCGATACCCGTTTGCCATCACGTCCTTTTGCCAATATTTCACAATTGAGTACCGTATCAAGCGAATCTGAAATATTAGTCATGATTGGTACATGGCTTCAGATTAGAATAAATTGTGTTGAATGTTCGTATAAGAATGATAAGCGCATATGGATTATTAAATCAACACTAACAGATGACTGGCAAGCAAAATATGATGAACATTTCGTTATGACGACACCGAAGAACACTTTACAAAAATGGCTCCATAGATTATTACTATACATTTATCATGAATCACTTGATGAGGTTTTCAATGAATTATGTGATCTATATCCGACTGAAAAGTGGATTCTAGCTGTGAAGCACGTAGCTCTTGGTGATCATAAAAAGGAGAAAGAACACAACTGGCCACTAGCTTTAGAACATTATGAAAAAGCATTAGCGATCTGGTTTGAACATATGAATGATGGTGAGTTAAATCCAGATTATGACATCGTTCGTCTTTATCTCAAAATTGGTATCGGCTGTCAAGACCCTGTAATTGCCCTGAAGAACTATAATTTGGCTATTGCACATAGTCAACTAGCTCTTGAAAAAGTTAATACAAGTTATGAACAATATATGTTACAAAGATGGGTGATTGATGGATATGATATGAAAAAAGCTGTTTGTACTGATGACAATGACAGAAAAGAATGTCGATTAGCAATGATTAAATACAAAGAATTACAAATAGAGGCTCTAACACAAATGCAATCTGCCACAACGACTGGAAACTACAGTAATCATCTCAGACGTGAACAAGTGGAGCTTGCTGATCTTTACGAATCAGTTGGTAAATATAACGAAGCAACAGCAGTCTATGAAAAGGCTTTAGAAACTGAGCTAAAACGGTCAGAAAAGGACATTCCTACAATCAGACATATCACTAAAGAATTGGCTTATATCTATAGTAAGCACAAACACGATTACAATAATGCAAGTAAATATCAATCGATGCAACATCAATATTTATTAAAAGAACTCGAACACAATCCAGCATGTGGTTACGTAGACAAGGCTAATAACAGTCAAAGATTAGCTGATAGCCAACGATATCTAGCAAAGCTTTATCGAAAAGCCCAACAATACGAATTAGCTGTTGAAAGCTTAACCGAAGCGATAAAGTTATACGGTGACAGTGGTCATGGAGATAAATACGAAATCATGTCGAACCTTGAAGATAAACTTGTAGAAATACAGAATTTGCTAACATCATCGAAAGCTTCCGAATCAACATAAATAAACATTAGTTTCATAATTTGTGATAGCATTAGCTTATCAGATGCCCTAGGGAGAATCTTTGATACTTCGGTAGCAGACCTCCGGCAAATCAGATAACGATCTTGGAAGGATTTGCCATTTTTTCCTGAGAAGGGTGTGGGTGTGGGTGTGGGTGTGGGGTGTGGGTGTGGGTGTGGGTGTGGGTGTGGGGTGTGGGTGTGGGTGTGGGTGTGGGGTGTGGGAC